CTTTATTATCTGCAGCAGTGCATGATGGGCTGAACGCTCACACACAGCAGTACAAACCAACATAGACTCAGCAGCACACAGTGGAATAGACTCAGTCTGATTGTGACGGATTATGTGTTGTTTAGTGGTATTTTCCCATAGATAGACAGAAACAGAGCCTGGTTATGCAAGGAGAGCCCAGCTTGTTGCCAAGACTAACAGGCAGACTGGCAGTTCGGAAAAACCCCAGCTGAACTCCGTCAACCCTCTCCTCGTCTCCATCTTCTTCTCTAAAGGATAATCTGGTCATTCCTCTTCTTTGCTTTTGAATCCTCAGACATCGACCATGAAATCAGTCAACAAGGTGGAAAAGCTCAGACCCCTCACTGATATATCCTGTTAAAATCCAAAGATTCATTTTTGTCCTGATAAAAAAAAGCTTCATTTCCTTTTGTGGGACGCCAACACCACAAAGGTCAGAGGTCACAGTGGTCTAAGAAAAGAAGATGATTGTTTATACGTATAACAACTTATTACATGTGTGCAGAGGAATGATTAACATGTCTTTTTTTGTTTGTTACATATATACATTTATATCCCCACTTTTCTTGTTAATTTCTTTTTTATTAGTTGTTTTTATTCCACTTTCAGTTTCTCTAATTTGTTTCGTTTTTGTTTGTCTTTCTTCTTTTTTACTTTTCTTTTTCTCTTTAATTTGCCAGTTTCTCTTTTGTGTCTTTCCTATTGATTTGGACATGCAGCAGTGTTGTGTAATAGAACAAAACTCGACATGATTTCTCCTCTGCTCACCCCGCTCTTCATCAGTATCTGTATTTCCTCCCCCTCAACATGTCAAAACATTTTGCATTCCTCTCACTCTTTTTTCCTCTTTTCAGTTTTTCTTGTTTCAAGATGTTGATGTCCTATTTTCCCTCCTCTCCCTCAAGCTTATTTTCCTTCAAGTCTTTCTGCTCTTTCTCACCCCTTCTTCCCCCATTTTTCTAAATATCTTTCTATCACTCCTCCTCTTCGTCCTATTCTGTTACATTACATTACAATCTTTTTTTCCTAACAGCACTTTTTTTTACGCTTACAAAACAGTTTTATTTGTAGGTGCAAATATACATGTAGAAAGTTGTGACACAAACAATATGAAGTAGAGGCAGAGACATTAACACTGGTGTTCATTTACATACAGGTCTATAGCATCACCTCTGTCCATGATAGAAACACTGTGGAGTGGATTTTATTCATTAAAATGGATTCTTTTTGTGCTATAAATACGTGCAGGCGTGTACATGCTGGGTAACCTCGACACAGTGAAAATTACATATGTGACATGCTGCAAGTGGTGAGATACATTAATGTAAAAAAAATAAATAAATAACACCCACACATTTTTCACCTGCAATTATGGAGTGAAATGTGTTTGTCACATACATTCAAGCAATTACGGAGCCCTATTCACGCTTTTCTGTACGTAAGCACCTAATCAGAACACATTGACAGCTGGCACAGTATGTGTGTGTGTGTGTGTGTGTGTGAGATTTTCAAATTGTCAACAACACACACACACACACACACACACACAGATATTCATTGGTAATTACTGTCTCCTCACACCGCTGGATGATGTTTTCCGTCACACGCACAGTATTTTAATGAAGCCGTTTGATTGGTCAGGATCGTTTTGATTGACAGGTGACAAAGTAGCTCGTTTGCGTGAAGCTTCAAAGTCTTGAAATCTCCTCCAGATTTCTCTCAAGATGTTCATTTCTTCTAAACATCGAGCTGAAGTTATGAGTTGAAGTTTAAATACGGTGAGATTTCCCATAATCCAGCAGGAATTCGGCCTGTGGTAGGCTACATACAGGTTGCTATGGTAATGATGTTGTTGCTCAGGTGAATCACATGTTATATTTCTACCCAAACCTGTTGTTGTTGTACAAAAAAATACAAATAATTAGAATAAAAAATGTAGAGAAGTGAATGAAAGAAGGGAAAATATTTAATTTAGGAGTATCTCAGGTCTTCTTTCTCTGAGACTTCCTGTGTCCAAGCCCTTCAGGTTTTTTTATTTTTTTATTTTTGCAGAAATAATATTGAAATTTATAAGCAAGTGATTCATTTTTATTCGGTCTAGCCAGGAGTGTAACCTTGAATCTCCATACACACATTGTCATGTTGAACGTAGTGTTATATGGACAGTGAGGCTGCACAATGAATCGAAATATTATCCAAATCACAGAACTCTAATTTTTGATAAAGGTAAAATGTGACGAACAGCATTCTAATGAAGTACTGTATTGCTGCAGAGATCCTCTGGCCTACAAATCTTGTTCTCCAGATGTAAGAAAACATATTTGTTTGGTGCAGACCCAAATAAATGTCACATCAACATGATTTTAATACTTTTTCAGTGAAAATGAAATTTGTGATGGAAAAATAATCGTTCCCACGCTAATCGTGAATCATCACAATATCTGTCAAAATATTCACAATATGATTTCCATATTGGGTTTGCCCTAATGGAAAACAGCCCCAGAATACACTAAAGCAAAAAAAAGAAAAGCCATTTTTCTGAGGGTTTTCACCAAGGACACTGGGATAATTAGTCTTTCTCTTTTTATTTCTTATTAAACTTTAAAATACTGTAAAAAAAAAACGCTTTACACACACTTTCACGATGCTTTAGGCAACTGGACACAGGACTCTCTAATAAACAACAATAATGAACAACAGCGGTTCAAGGCTGAGATCAAACCTTATACTCGTAACTAAACTCTTTTATGTGCAGTGTGATAATAATTTGAATCTTAAGAGCAGGAAAAAAGTGTTGCACACTCGGCTCCATGTGTATTTCTCTTTTATTTAACTGATGATGTTTCATCCTTCCAGCCTTCTTCAGGATCAACAATCATTTATTTTGCTAAATGATTCAGTAGAATTGAGCGGATTTTTTGATAATATATTATGATAATTATACAAGTTATCCCAGCTCTTACATTAAAATATTGATATTATATTAAAATATGTATTAGTTTTATTATTGTTTTTTATTTATTATTTGTTTTTTTAACATCTTTTACAATACCAATATTTTTTTTTTCTTCATCAAATCTACTTTCTGTTCCAGCAGGACATAGAGAATGTAGAGATCACCGCCGTCTTTCAGGTTTACTTCACATTTCTGTCCTTCTCCTAACAGTCTTATAACACACACAGTGGAGTGAGTAGGCCTCCTTGAAAAGCTCATTAACAGAATGTTAATATATTTCCCAGAGGGCCTTTGTGTTTTTGTGTCGTTGTTTGTGTCGTTTCTGCTAATTTGTCTTTTCTCTACAAGTTGATGTCACTCCTTCAGTTAGTTCATCAAAGGCTTCCCTCAGATGAGCCTCCTCTTCTTCCTCACAAACAAAGCACTTCTCTGCCTCTTATCACCTGCTGTTCTGACGCTCTGCTGCAGAGGGTTAGTGCCTCCCAGTGGACACGCAGTCAGCTGCACTCTGAGGTCTGACTGCATCGTTGTACTGGTTAATAGATATGAATATAGTTAATGTGAGCTCATATGTACACATATAGAATCTTTATTAATAAATACTGGTATTATTCCCCTTCTTAGTACCACAGTTATTGTGTTGCTGCTTATACTGCTGCTATAGGCTAAACTAATACTACCACAACTATGACTCCGACTATGTTTAATACTACTGCTAATCTACACTGTAAAACCAGATAAGTTGTCTCCAAAAATTGTTGAAACAGAGTACATCAAAATTTTTAAGTAAAACCAACCCAATTTTGTAAGTTAAAAAACATTCTTGATCAAGCAGCTTTAGTAATTTGTATGTGACACTGACTTAATTTTGTAATTTTTATAT